CTAAGAGAACAAAAAGGTTCATTTTGTATAGGGTGAAACCAGGCTTCTCCTTGGAGGCAAGGATTCTGAAGCTTTGTCTGGCACACTTTGGACATGTTGCAAGGAGAGACCAGTCCTTACAGAAGGATACCATGCTTGGGTGGGTAAAGAGACAGTGCAGGAGAGAAAGACCCTTGATGAAATGGATTGATTCAATGACTAGGGTAATACGGGTAGCTTGGTCAGAGACAACAAAATTGGCACAGGATAGAGCAGGCTTTAGGGCTGTTGTACATAGCGTCTCTATGAGTCACAGATGACTCGATGGCACATAACAACAACATATATTATTGTAATATATTCTATTCTATTCTATTCTATTCTATTCTATTCTATTCTATTCTATTCTATTCTATTCTAATTCTATTCTATTCTTGTATTAATCATTATTCTATTTATTATGTATCTCTGGTGGCCTAGTGGCAAGAAGCAGCATTGCAATCCCGCAGGCATGTGGTTCAAGGCTACTACCATATGCTCTGCAGGAGGATGGGCAATCTCCTCCCTTAATGATCTTAATAATCTCCTCTAAAAACCTGCCAGAGGATTAGCTATGGTTTGCTTTTGACTTGACAGTACACATTCTATTATTATTCTATTCTATTCTATTCTATTCTATTCCAGATGACACACCCCTGCTTGCTGAAACTGAGGAGGACCTGAAGCGCTTGCAGCAGAAGGTCAAGGACTGCAGCCTTCAATATGAATTGAGGCTCAATATCAAGAAGACAAAAATTCTCACCACTGGGCCAACTTGCAGCATCAGGATGGATGGTGAAGAGATTGAGCTTGTTTACAGCTTTAGTTTGCTTGGCTCCACAGTCAATACTCCTGGCACCAGCAGCCAGGGAAGTCTGCTGTTAGGGACCTCTCCAAAGAACTGAAGAGCAATGGTGTCAGTCCAAGGTGTTCCTGATACAGGCCATGGTCTTTGCAATCAGAGAGCTAGAACATAACTAAGGAGGATAGAAGGAGAATTGATTCCTTTGAGCTGTGGTGTTGGAGAATAGTATTGAATATACCCTGGACTGCTAAGAAAAAGAACAGGTTTGTCCTGTTGTTGTTGCTGTGTTGTTGTTAAGTGCTGTCAAGTCGTAAGTGACTCGTAGCGACCCTATGAACCAAAGTCCTCCTCAACATTTGTGTGACTTTCATCCTTTCTCCAGGTTCATAGGGTTTCCAGAGGCAAGGTATTGCAGAAGTGGATGCCACTCCTGCTTCCCAGCTTGTTTTAATCAGGGAGTTCCACCAAAACACTGTCCACCATGGGTAACCATTAACGCATTTGACACATCAGTGTCACAGCGTTCAGCTTCAAAGCGAACACAAGTTACCTCTGTACGGCAAGTGGACACACCAGAACTATACAACCTAGAAGAATGTTTGAACAAAAACAATGAAAAACAGGCCTGAGGGCCAGGGATTAAAAGTCACCCACCTTTGGCTTGGTAGCATCACTTTCTGTCCACTAGGCCAACTGATCTCTCTCTATGGTCAAGTTATTGTTGTTAAGTGCCGTAGAGTCGTAGGTGACTCATAGCAACCCTATGAACGAAAGTCTCGAACACTTGTGTGTCTCTCATCCTCTCTCCAGGTTCATAGGGTTTCTGGAGGTAAGCTATTACAGAAGTGGATGCTACTCCTCTTTTCAATACAATTCATCCCAGAGAAGGTTAAACCAGGCTGCTCCTTGGAGGCAAGGATTCTAAAGCTTTGTCTGACATACTTTGGATGTATTGCAAGGAGGGACCAGTCTTTGGAAAAAGATGTCATGCTGGGGAGGGTGGAGGGACAGCGCAGGAGAGGGAAGACCCTCTGAGATGAGATGCATTGATTCAGTGACTGGGGTAATAGGGGTGGGTGTGTAGGAGGCAGTGAGGTTGGCAGGATAGAGCAGAGTTTAGGGCTGTTGTGCATAGGGTCGCTATGAGTCACAGGTGACTCGACGGCACGTAACAACAACAACAGGATCATGGCCAGATTGGCACACAATATTAACCACCACAGGGCCTGATGAATGTACGTCTATACAAGTGGTTGTCAAAGGCCTTTTCTGCATCAATTGATAGGATCATGTGGTTCTGGTTCTTTGCTTTGTTAATGTGATGAATGACATTGATTGTTTTTCTTATGTTGAACCATTCTTGCATCCCTGTTATGAATCCCACTTGGTCATGGTGAATTATTTTTTTTTATGTATC